ATATTTTTTTACTAGTGGGTGTAGGACACTATAGTTCATTTATGTAAGTGAGGATAGCAAAATAAAGTAAACTGTGACAAATCATACCCAAAAATTCTTCATACAGTGGACTACCAGTAAAACTGATACACATTTGGGACCAAAAATGATTCCAGACCGAGTCTGGGAATAAACTGAAGTTGAGGTTTGCATGAAGCTGTGTGACAGCATGCCCAGGAGACCACAGGCTGTTATTGAGGCTAAGCATTGCCCGACTAAGTATTGATAGTTGTGTAAATACTGTCATACTAACAGCTGTCTGAATTATTTTGGTTGATTGTAATCTATTACATACCTTTCTATCAAAATTATCTGACATTATCAAGCTGAATTTGTTCTGACACAGTTTAACTCTGAGTTCTTGTCATATTTTATTACCATTTTCTAAACTATAGCGAATAAACTGTGATAATGTGAGAAGTGTTGAAGGTGTCTGAATACATTTTGGTTTGACTGTATCTATTTGATAAATGAAGTTAACCAACTAACATTATACATACTCTTTTGGTTTCTGTACCCAATATTTAAAAAATGTACAAATGCAATAAAAATATCGGTATCGGTATCAGGCGAGCACTGGAAAAAGTGGTATCGGTGCATCCCTAATTTTTATTAATATTTAGAATGTTTTTATTTTTATATTTTCTGTTTTTTATTTTCATTTTAGCAAAATTTGCAATTATTTTGTTGGGTGTTTTCATCATTTTTATTAGTTCACATATCGTCCCCTTGGAATTATAAGGTTCTATCTGACATTGTCAAAATTGAGTTATTCACATATTCTTATTCTGTGACAACTTATTTGCGTTATGTGATAGATTTTTTTAATGTTGTGTACATTTGGGGACTTTTTATTTAAAAAACAAAAAGATCTGCACAGTCGAATGGAATGCAAAAACTTTGAAGCTCAAAATCTGAAAACTACTCGGAATGCAGATAGAACCAAGGGGACGATATGTCTGTATAGTTGTTTTTCTCCGTTATGCAGTGGTCTGTGTTGTTTGTGTGCAGAGGGACGAGAGGGAAACAGCACTGAGGAGTGGGAGATGGAGTTGGAAGCGCTGGACATCACTGATGAGCCGATAGATCTGGACGTAGCCGACGAGGCCGAAACTGAAGAACTGGCCAAAAAGTTACTGGATGAGCAAGGTAAAGAATTAGCTTTTTTTGTGTATTTTCCTCTTTAGTAGTTTTATTTTTTTTTTATCTATTTAGCTTTTATTTATTTTTTACAGTTTTAGCTATTTTAGTAGCAGTGTTGTTTTAATATAATTTGGATATGTATTCTAGTTTTTATTAATATTTTAAATCAGTTTTTATTCATACGTTTTCCACCTTACATTTAGATAAAATTTTAGTCATTTCATTGTTTGTTTTTGACATTTTTAATAGTTTTATATTATTAATTTGTATTAATATTTAGAATGTTTTTATTTTTATATTTTCAGTTTTTTTATTTTCATTTTAGCAAAATTTGCAATTATTTTGTTGGGTGTTTTCAATCATTTTTATTAGTTCACATATCGTCCCCTTGGAATTATAAGGTTCTATCTGACATTGTCAAAATTGAGTTATTCACATATTCTTATTCTGTGACAACTTATTTGCATTATGTGATAGATTTTTTTAATGTTGTGTACATTTTGGGACTTTTTATTTAAAAAACAAAAAGAT